GCAATATGGAAAAATCTCCATAAAGAAGGTGTTTGGGTTCCTCACGAACTCTCCGATGATCATCATTTCCAATGTGTGAATGTTGCTTTGTCTCGTCAGGTGCGTAATTTCTCATGAACTGTTTTTGGACAGAATTGTCACCAGTGATGAAAAATGGATTTTCTATGTGAATATTAAATGCCAAAAAGAATGACTCAGTCCTGGAAAAAAACCACTTCCGACCCCAAAACCTGGACTCCATCTGCAGAATGTGATGCATTACATTTGGTAGGACTTCAAAGGAGTAATTCATTTCAAACTCCTCAATCCACAGTGAACTGTCAATGCAGAGATCTATAGTCAGCAACTGGAACATGGAAATGCCCTTCACTCGTTAATCGGAAAGGTGTTCTTCTTCTCCATGAAAATACATGTCCACATGTGGTACATATGATGCAACACAAGATTATGGAGTTGGGTTGGGAAGTTCTCCCCCACCCACCATATTCTCCAGATATGGCACCATCAGATTACCATGTTTTTCATTTGCTGCAACACCATCTTAAAGGGAAAACATATGCAAATGTGGAAGGTGTCAAAAAGGACATCAGCGTGTTTTTTCCTTCAAAGCCAAGTGATTTCTTTAATCAGGGCATTAACAACCTGATTGTAAGATGGAAAGTATCATCGATAATAATGGAGATTATTTCATTTAATAAATGTTTTGTTTTGATATATAAGTTGTTCAAGTTTTTTCATCTAAAAAAAGCTACATTAATTTCTTGATGACCTAATATTTTCATATAAGAAGGTAAATATGTAGTTTATTTATATATCACATAGGGACATGAGCTTTTTTCTGCAATATTTTGGAGTTCCTCAATTTTATTTTGTGGAATAGCATTCTCAAGTACAGTAGCCATTGTAACAGTTATGTGGTTTAGTTCATTTTAAACATCCATGTTGCTTATAAATACATGGTTTTTATGTTCATGTTTGGGGTTAAGTGCACATTAAATAAGTTTAGCTCATGTGGTAAATATTAATAAGCTAGCAATTATGGCTGGGAATCTCCACTCGCTAACACTATGTATCTTCATATAATTATGATGACTTGTAAGGATTTCAACAAACTATCTTAAAACACAGATTACAACCAGGAGTGTATTCTAGAAATCAGTCGGCTTTTTCTGTCATTGGTCGTGTTTTCACTGCCGGTTGCCAGAATATTAGGAATGTTTGTCATGTGATGGGCTTCCCAAACTGACGCCAGTGTTGTTTTTCTGAACATGTAAGCCTAGCTCACTGGGGTAAAGGTTAACTGTTAAATGCTTGAGTGCATGTGCCAAATGGCAGAACAAATATTGACAATGAGCCCTGTGCTGATTAAGTTTATCAAGATAAAAAAAAAATTCAAACAGGGTGCAGGAAATAAGTGCATCAGTGAAGAACAAATAGAATTAGGCCTGGCTTGAGAAAAAAGCTATTGATATCAGAAAATTTTGGCTAAATTGCAATGGAAGGGTAGTCCCACTGAGCACATTCTACGTGACTTCATTAGAAAATCAAATGTCACGTATAAAAATAAGAGATTCCTTGTAGACTACCTCCTGGTGGCTCAGTGGGCTTGTAACACTAAAAATCAGGTTTCAGTACTTATGGTGAGCTGAGTACAGGTAATCCAGTGTGTAGCTTTGTGCTTTACAACAAACAAACAAGCAATCCTTGTAGGCCCTAGGTCTAGATCTATTGCAGACCTTGGTGCAATTACCATTATTGGCAATGCATGTTTTAAGTTTACCATCAATCTCTAGGCTTAGACCTATCATGTGTATCTAATTTTTAAGGTTAGCTTTAATGTCAGTGACTTAGGACTAGTTAGTCTATGCATCACTATATCAATCAAGATGTAGGGTAACATTAATCTATATCAGGAGTGTTTTATTTCAATTTTCACTCTCCTAAGTGAATTCACAATTAGGCCTCAAAATGTGCCCAGATAGCATCACAGAGCATCCAAAAATCCAGTCTCTGGGGGCTGCGTGAGGCCTTCTGACCCCTGGCTTTTATGCAAAGTCTACTTTGATTATCAAAGTTAGAATATACAAAGCAATGACATTATGTAGTGATGGCACAGAATGTAACCTGTAGTGCAGTGAAAAATGTGTGCAAGTATAAACAAACAATAGGCCCCAGTGGTTCAGTGGTAAGCTTGATAACATATGGTGCAATAAAATGAGGTTTAATTCCAATGGTGAGCACAGTGCAGATAGATCACTCTATAGCTCCAACACAAATGGAAAAAATGATGATGATTTCATTGAATAATTTGTAATATTAAACTTATAAGTATTTTCTTTTTTTTTCTTTCTGAAGTTTGATTTTTTTACTCAATTAGTAATTATAATACTACTTCCTTTGAATAGAAATAAATAACCTTTATGAAAGCTTTATGAATTTTTATAAAAGTCCATAAATTTCATTAATTAAACATGATTCGTTTGTATAAAATACAGATATACTGTTTGTGCTTTTTTCTGAAACTGTCTTTATTAACTCTTTCTAGAATTGGGAGGTGTCACTGAAATCCCTTGATTTTTTTTTCTATCTCACAGTGGAAAAAATTAACCAACTGCATGAATCCTAGTAAAAAAATTCTAAATATATATTTGCATCTAGTTTTGGCTTTATGAAAAATATAAGAATGAACAGCAAATAAGACTTCTGTACAAGATTTGTTATGGCTAAGACTAGTCACTACAATGACAAAACAGTTGCCCTCAACTTACTAATATCTTGCTTATTAATCTGTTGTAAAATCCATTCATACACATGCTATTAAAAGTAAAGATCCATAAACATTATTTTTGGTGAGTTTATGTGTTGCATATTGAGCGGACTCTTAATATATTGGTTCAACTAGTAACAGTTTTTATGAAGAAAATCTGGCATTATATATTCTATAAATTGTTGCCAGGTTTCAATAAAAAAATCTGCTCTTACAATACTGATTATTTTTCTAGTTTTGATCTGCTCATATTTATTAGTGAGATGATTAATAAGTGCTTTGATTTTGTAGTGTCGTATGAACCTAGTTGTAATACATGCATCTTCTCTGTTTTACATTAATGTTGGTTTATTCTTAACAGTAGTAATGTATGTGTGTGTGTGTATATATATATATATATATATATATATGTATTATTTTTTCCACTTCAATTTTTTGGGGGATTTTTTTGCTAGGACAACTACAATTAAAACCTTTCCTGATTACCTGATGATACAGCTTAAAAAGTTCACCTTAGCTGATGATTGGGTGCCAAAGAAGTTAGGTAAGCTTTCTTTGTTAATAAATATTTTAATTCTGTAAACAACTATTGCTACTGTACTGTTGGACTGTACTACATCTTTTTTTTACTATTTTTAGTTTAAAAGTTAAATTCACAGATTTTTTATGTTTTTATCTCTGGTTTAAAAGGTTGAAACATAGCACTACTCAAGCAAGTTTCCAACTTTTAACTTTCTCCCTGGGGCTAATTGGGTCAAATGGAGATTAGGCACCTTTTTGTCTGATTCTTTTGCAGGAATAATATCTGCTTTTTAATTAGCACACCAAGGTATTCTTGCTGGCAACTCAGAAAGTAGTTGCAGGTAGACTCGAATGTGGTTTTCACTGTCCATTGGTCAACTGATCTTATAGGCACCAATTACTGTTTTCTTGTGTCAGATACTTGAAGGTTTATTGGCATATTTAAAACAAACACATTTTGAGCAGATTGTATGAGATTGTACATAGATTTTCATCTATATAAATTTTAAGGGGATTTATGTAGAACTTTACATACATATAATAACAGAATTAGTTTCATTTGTACTTGAACAGTGTTTTCACAGTGTTTCTTTAACTTCATCAGAACTCATAAAATTCTCACTTTTTATTGCTGGTTAAAGGTTTGTGTTTCTTTTTATGTAGTTTTACTTTTCAAGAACTCAACTTTTCATGCAGCTTTAAGGCTAAGTATCATATTCATTTGTGCAAGCTTCATTTGAATTTATATTTAAAATATGAAATATTATTGTTGTGGTGAAATCAGAATGGAAACTTGAATTTTGCAGAAGCTAAAGAGAAGGTTGATTTTATTGTGCTACATTTTAACTTGGGGTCTCTCTTTTATTGATTCTCTTTTGTATGCTATCCAAGTTACAGGAGAAAGAATACACACTAACAAGAGCATATTGTTCAATAAAGTTTTCATTTCCCTTGCTTGACCACCACCATTTTTGGTCACACACAAATAACTTGGCTACCATAAATAAAGTGTATTGCAGTAGTGTTGCTTTGTTTTGTATGATTGTGCATTGTTATTTGCATTGTGAACTGTGAAGATTTTCATTAAATATTTGTTCCCTTTATACAACTGTGTTCTGTCTCATTCTTTGTGGCCCAACCATAGCACCCATTGGGAAACACATACAAGATCCATGAACCTCCTGTTTTTCTGGGCCTGGACTTCTCTGCTTTGAAAGAAATCCTTGAAATTCCACATACCACAGCGTTTAGAAGGAAGGTGTAGGAAATTTTAGTGCCATGGCCAGGATTTCACTATTATGAGTGTGAATTACTGATGAGAAGGGTGGCAACCACATTGGGATATTGAGAAGACAGCAAATGTCCCCAGGAACATGAAAAGAGATGATATTCTCTACTTGTTGAAGAATGTATTGACTGTTAAAAGGTAGGCCATGAGCCAAGGGAAGATGGTAAGGGGCAGTCTTTTGAATGTGGGATTTTCACTTCTATCACAAACATTCTCTACAGGCCATTTCTGTTGCCATTGACTCAGGAGACAGAGGAATGAAGGTCATTTGGAGCACCCAGAAGGCTTTACAAAACTATTCCCTTGAAGTTAAACCTTGATAGTGGAGTCTATGTGATGGAGTGTCACAGACAAGAGACTTGTGTTTGCAGGCCTGAACTTCTCTGCTTTGTCAAAATTCTCAAGATATCCACCAAATTTCATGGATATTGTTTATAGTTTTTTTGTTTAATTTTTCTATCAGTTAGACATAGAACTGAACAATATAGTGACCATAAGCTGCTCTGAAAATGAGAAAACCTGGTGCAATTACTACAGGATAAATTTTTTAAAAAGTATTATCAGTCATTAATACAGAAGTTGCCAAAAATTTGTTTATGTTCCCCTTAATATGTGTGTTTTGTAGTTTTCATTAAGAGCAAAGAACAGTCTTTTTACATGAATAATTTTGTTTTGAATTTTTGATGTTACATAACCTTAATAGGATATAAACACTTCAGGATCATAAATAAATCAGTGCCAGTACATTTCACAATTGAAATTTTTTAATTTTATAACTATTGTGAGTTTATATAGAAATAAAACACAATTATACATTGTAAACTAGTTTTCAAGTCGAAGTTTTATGTCCTATTTTAAACAAAAACATGGGGTAGAGTGAGTTATCCATTTTTAAACCTAAAAGATATGGTACAGGATTGAAAAGAGAGAGAGACTTTGATGAATACCAAGTACTTTATCCATAGCAATTATCATAAATGTAGCTGTATTTTACAATATTTACCGAAACATTATATTGTGTTTCATTTCCATGGTGAAAATAACACTAGACTGCAGATGTTTTTTTGCACATTCCTCTTAATTGATCTGTTACAGGTTTAAAATCTGTATGTTTAAAAATAACATTCTGATATGGTACTTCCCTGCACTCAAAAGATAAGCTATTCTTGTTCCAGTGCTGCCCTGTATATGCAAACTTTTGTATGCATGCCACAAGCCTTCTGCTCCCCCCTATTGGAATCAAATGATTCCAACATGTGTCTCATGCAAATCATCATGCATCAATTCTCCACCAATAGGAGCGTGACATACTCATGCGACTCCCTCTATATGCCTTTATCAAACTATCATTTCTTGTTTCACAGTGCTTGGACATGTTCCTTTGTTTGTTACCAGTTTCACATTCAACTTTAGTATACTCGCGAAGTGGTTTTCATTTACTTGCTTCCAAGTTTATTAAGACTGTTTCTTCACATTAATTTAACCCTAGTTTACTACAATCTCATTATTATTAATAATTTCGTTTTTGATTGAATCTTCTTGATTATGAATTCTGAAGTTATGTTACATCTGCAACTAGCACTATGTCACAGGTATCAAGTGCAGGCAACCCGGCAGAAGATTTATTGGTGTTTATTCGCAGGGAGATTAAATGTTACATAGGTCAACCTCTATCTATGGACCTCACCCTACTTCCTCCAGATTTTGCCCCTGAGGAGTCAGTTAGGCCTAATATGGTCTTTTTCGGTTTCGTTTCTCAGGTATGTGATGTTTTATCCCATGCCCCTATTTTCTATGAACTGCATCCTTTCTTACTACATGACCAATCTTCACATCCCTGATATTCGGATACATGCTGACCAATTTGCTTCGCAATTAAGTTATGGGATTAGCATGCCTCGCCCCCCACTGGCTTTGGATCAGCTTGCTCTTGCATATCGTCGTGCAGACTGCCCTTTTCCAGACCAACAATTGTTAGGTTCTATTTTATCTGTTTCAGGGGTGGTTCCCAAGTCTTCTGTAAGTCTGACCCATGTCCAATTTTCCTGCCTTTGTCTTAGCCTCACAACTCTTTTATGGTATCTCTCTACCATCCATCTCATCTCTGAGGCTCTCCACTGAAATCCTGAGGGGTTTTCTGGTGCCATCCTCTCCCTTCTTTCCTCCATGTTGGCTCATTTATTGTTTTTGGCTCTGGCTTTGCATACATGGTTTCTCTGTTGCTGGGCCTTCTCAGTTATGATGCAACTTTAACTCGCATACATTTACCAGCATCTTTGGGATTTACACATGGCTCCATTTTTGTGGTGTTACGTATTTGACATGATCCCTGAGTCCTTGGAGTCATGAGTTGCATCAGTACAAAAACTGTTTACTTTTTTCAATCTTGTTGCCTGTTTGTCTCAATTGGGGCTCATTTCCGACTCTTTAACCCTTGGCGGTCTTCCTCTATTTGTGAGCTATCTCCTTCTACCCTTACCAATTAGGTTCAATGTTTGATTCAATTGGCTTATTTCTCCTTGTCTTCTTCCCACTGAAATTTATTCAGTGTGTCTTCTCATCAAATTCGACACCTCGCCTTTTCCCTTGAATCTGGACTCCATTGGCCATTGGAGGAAATCTTACAATTGGGCATGAGGACTACACCTAATATATTCATCTCCAAGTATTTACACCATATTGCAGTTTCTTCTTCGTCGAGTTTTTGCCTTCAACTTGTGGCCATTCTTCAAGCTTTAATGCAATTTTGACTGGGTAAGTTTATATATATATATATATATATATTGTTTTCACACCAGGGGCCCTTGCTTCATTTATTCTTTATAAGAATCCCACTTTGTACAGCCTTGTTGACTCATGCTTTAACTTCCATGGCTTTGCAATGCTCACTGTTGAGATAGGGTGTTCTACAAGATTGCTTATAGGTGAATAACCTCATGATGTAATTACTTCATAAACTTACCCATTTCAGACCATACCACCCATGGACTGCTTGGGGTAAAGCAGAAGGGGATAACTGCCCATCCATGCCATGCCTTGTATTGAATAAATCAGTATGGTCTGCTTTTCAAAATAGGGTTTCAAGGTCAACCATTGCATTGTCTCAGGTGATGATGTTCCTCTGGACTCTCCAATGCATTCTCACCCTCTCTTTTTTCTAGTAGAGTATGGGATTCTTTATCACTTTCCAGTTCCATGCCGCTTGGGCTATCGACTATAGAGGCACCCTCCTGAATGGGTTCCACACAAAAATGGCTATAACCATTCAGTGCAGAGTAGGGTGGTGGTGTTATGTGGGTGTAGGTGACGTAATATCCTCCACTATGCGTTATACAATCACTAAAGAGTGAGACGTCAAATTGCAGTTCACCCCTTCAATTGGAAGCCCTCATCCTACTCCCACGTGGATGTCAGTCCCCCGTGGTTGGGTTTTGGATGTAGAGTAGAACCAATCAACTTAAGTCCTCACATATGGTTGTCTAAATTCCTTCCTCGATTATACTCCTTCTGTGTTGTAGGTCACAGCAAAGGTAAAGGGAATTGTTCCATTTCTGTCCTTTTTGCTATCCCTTGTATATCTTATTCCAAGGATGTTATTGATTTTTGGATGGTTCCGGTCTGTTTCGCTGTTGGGGGACTTGATATATATTTAATAAACATCCTTTTGATGCCGGATGTCGGGTCCCAGAATCGATATCTCAAAGCTCTCACATGTCATGTTCTGGAGTCAGAGT